TCGAGTCCCCGCCCCTCAGTCCCGCCCTCAGTCCCGCCTCCCCGAGTCCCTGCCCCTGAGTCCCTGCCCCGGGAGCCCGGCCTTTCACAAGCACCGCCCCCAGAAGCCTTCCCTGGAGGACTCCTCCAGCCCGGACCCCGACCCCTACTCTGACCCCAACCACGACCCCGGGGAGCCTGTCGCATGCGCCCAGCGTGGCTCCCCTCCTCCCAGGGGCGTGTTTGGCTTCGTGAAGAGGGTGCAGCACAAGGGAAACCAGATGTCCTGCGCAGCCAAGTTCATCCCCTTGCGGAGCAGGACGCGCACCCATGCGTACCGCGAGCGGGACATCCTGGCCACGCTGAGCCACCCGCTGGTCACCCGGCTGCTGGACCAGTTTGAGACCCGGAAGACCCTGATCCTTGTCCTGGAGCTGTATCCCGCCCTCAGCCGGAGAGAGTGCGGAGAGGGGCGCGCCCTGGGCAGGCAGGGGTCCGAGGGCCACATGGGGCCCGTTGTTCTGGTGTTCCTGGACACAGCAGCGTCCTTGTAGCTCCGGTCCCGTGGTTCCGGAATTTGGGCAGGGCTGTGTCCACAGGGTCCAGGACATGCCTTCACTGGGCCCCTGCCTTGCTCCACGTGGCCTCACCAGCAGGGACGTCCGACTTATGTGGCTGCCCCCAGCGCTAAAGCTGAGAGGGTCCTCAGGCTGCCCACCCAAGGTCCAGCGAGGGGCAGACACGCACGACTCGCTCCCCTCCTACTCTGCTGCTGCCACCCACTGATCTCAGCCCCTGTCCTCGGGGTCCCTGTTCCTCCCACCCTCGTCAGCCTGAGCACCACCCTCCCCAGCGTGGCTCCCACCCCCACCCCAAGATAAGACTTGCCGAAGGTGTGTGGGGCTGGGTGGGTTGCAGACTCCAGAGCTTTTCTTGACCTGAGCCCCAGGTGCTCGTCAGAGGACCTGCTGGACCGTCTGTTCAAGAAGAGTGTGGTGACAGAGGCTGAGGTGACCGCACAGTGTCCTGCTCCCTTGCCAACACAGGCCCCCAGCGCTCCCCAGCTCAGAGGCCGTCTGAGGTTGCCCAGGGCCGCATGGGGCTTGGCAGCTCCTCAGCGGAGTTCTCCAAGCCCTCCCACGGCCTCCCCCTCACAGGCTCTGCCTGGCCAGGGGGCCATGCTCGCCTGGCCCTGAGACACGGTGCTTCCTGCTTAGACCAGGCTGATCCACTGCCCGGCTGGAGAAATCCTCTGGCCTTGGGGCCCATGGGGTCTGGGAGGCTTTGCACATGGCTGCCCCGTGGGACCATCCCAAGCTCAGATCTGAGGGAAGTGGGGGCCTTGCAGGTGGGAGTGGCACAGGGAAGGAAGTGGAGAAAGAGGTGGACGATGGCTCACGCCTGAGCCCTGGCCTTTCTTGCAGGTCAAGGTGTATGTCCAGCAGCTGGTGGAGGGGCTCCATTACCTGCATGGCCGCAGCACTCTCCACCTGGACATAAAGGTACTCGGCCCCCTCGGGGTCCCCAGGGACTGGGGAGGGACAGGTGGGAGCCTGGGGCCTGCTGGCTGGTGGGGGAGCCACAGGCCACCACTTCGAGATTCCCTGTTAGGACTTGGTTGCCTCTGGGGATGGGGAGCTCTTTCAGGGGGCTGCAGCTGGGATGAATTGGAGGCTGTCCCCAAATGGCACTGAAATCCACCCCCAGCACTGCCCACGGTCCCACTCTGGCCTCACTGTTGCTTGGAACAGCCCATCACAGACCCGGGGGTTCCCTGCTCCCTAGGGCATGGCCTCACCCCTCCCTGACTCTCCCTAACAGCCCCCCAACATCCTGATGGTGCATCCTGTTCGGGAAGACATTAAAATCTGCGACTTTGGCTTTGCCCAAAAAATCACCCCAGGAGAGCCACAGTACAGCAAGTATGGCTCCCCGGAGTTTGTGTCCCCGGAGATCATTGAGCAGACCCCTGTGAGCGAGGCCTCCGACATCTGGTGAGCTTGCAGACCAGCAGCCCCCTGACACACACTCCCTCCCCTCCCCCCCACACCCCTCAACCCCAAGCACACACTTTGACTGTGGTTTTGTTCCTGCAGGGCCATGGGGGTCGTCTCCTACCTCAGGTGAGCAAACCCCTGCCGCTGTCAGCCACCTCATCTGAAGCCAGCCCCAGCTCCCCCTGCTCCCGCATCAGGCCCGTGGGAGGCCAGAGCACTACTGGCCAGCTTCCCAGATCAAAGACCCAGGCCCCAAAGGGCAGCTATTATGGGAACTAGCCGTCAGCCAACTGAGAAGTGCTTTCTGCTGAGTTCTTTCCTTACATACGCTGTTCCGCTCTTCCGGAGGGGCTCTGCCCGGTCCCTAGGCAAAGCAGTGAGCTGTGTCTCTAAAGGGTCTGGGTGGTTTGCGGAAAGGCCCCTCATAACAGTCCCTGCTGCCCTGAGGATGCTGCTGGTGTAGACGGCACCTGGATCCCGGGCTGAGGCGAGGCACACACGCCAGGCTAGCCCTTGATCCCCGTCCCGGGCTGAGGCTGGGTACACACGCCAGGCTGACCCTTGATCCCCGTCCCGGGCTGAGGCTGGGTACACACGCCAGGCT